ACAAATGATTTTTTGGTAACATTTTTGAATTATCCAGAAAAAAATATTCCAATTGGATATTTTGGATCTCTCAAAAATACAGGGAATGTCAAAAATAAGCCCCTGTTCAGTCCTCGTTGGATGACCCTGTAAAATATCCTATACCTACTTATCTTCAATTATTTCGGAAATATTGACGGTTGAAAATTTATTTTTTAGGCGACTGTCTCAAAAAGGTCCAAGAGCCCAGAGCCGCCAGACACAGCTTATTTTCTTAAGGACAGAATATGTGGGATTGAGTAGCACTTATAGGTACTATGAACGTATGTATACCTGCTAAGTTGGGTAGACGGCCAATTGAAAATAATAGTAACAGCTGAATCTGTTATTTGTAAATAACGGTTTTTCCCACTTCTACTCTAGCCTGGAGTAGACTGTAAGTTTAGGAGGGGGAAATCAGTTGACATGGATATCTCGCTCACTTTTAAACGCATGCATTGTACCCTCGCGCTCACACTCCCGGAAAAATTATTATTGCATCTGGGGGGATGTTTGGCCGGTGCGATTGGTCTGGCTGAGGACACGTACTTATGAAATAGTCTTCCCAATAACATATATAAAAATCAAGCGTTAGAAAATAAGTTAAAGTTTTTCTCAGCTTTCGCACCTGGTGCTCAATTTTTGACTCTTCGGTAAATTCAGAACACGCTTTCTAGCGAACAGTGCATTAACGAAGGCTACGGGAGTTTTCAATTCTTAACGACCCTTCGCTAAGCACTTTACGCATCTTCACCTATAAGGGAATGTACGATATGACAACAGCGTAGTACCAGTCGCTGTCGGTGAATAATAAAATAAAACATAACCATTTCCCCATTAATTTGACAATTTTGACGTTACCAATTTTGTGCTGAATTGATGTTAATTATAAAAAACTAAAAAGATGTCGGAGAAAAGTGATAGCCGGGGTGCCAGAATCTCAAGTGAGGAGTCAATAACTGCATCAAATATTGCGTTGAAGCTTTTGAAAGCCGAAAATATTTAGAATCTGTCTCTCTGATAACACAAAAAATGCATCTTGGACGACGTTGCACATTATTTAACTGCCGTTGTTCAGCTCTTTCTAGGTTTTCAATAACAATAACATGTATTAAAATTATCTATTAAACTTTTCACCTTTTTATAAGCCAAATGCTTATAATAATAGAGAGATATTGCAAGTGCTTGTCTTATTAAGGCAAGCCTTATTTCGACAGCTGCGCATGCGCAGTTTTCGTTTGGAATAAGGACAACCTTATTAAGGATAAGGATCTGCCTTATTTAGGAGAAAATAAGACCTGCCTTATCTTTGCCTTATTTAAAAGTTCTTAGTCGATCGGCGATGATCGGTAGGAAATGAGAACTGAGTTTTGTTATGTTTTGTGTATAATACCATAGATTCATGACAACAAATTTTGACTTTTCTTGATTTTTTTTTTTCCAAACTTTGAAAAATGGGGCAAAATCAAAACAGCATCGAGGAACAGAAAAGAGGCAGACTGAAAGGTTTGTTTGTTTGTGTCGCACTAACTTGAACTAAGCTGTAATATCTCAGATTATGGCAGATAAACCATATAAAACGCTCACAAACGAACGGCCCAAAGCAGGAAGTGCTGCCCCGAATAACACAAAAAACAACCTCAAGGTTTACGTTTAACGATGAACTGGTTTTGCTTAGAGAATTCGTGTCATTTTCCTGCCACTGTCCCAGGATTTTACACGTACTATATAATTATTTTGAATAAATAATTTCCTATTTTTAAAATATCTAAGTATATATTCCACATCAGGGAGAAAACAGTTCAAGTTCAAAACTTAAAAAATAAACATTAAAAAAAATTCAAGATTTTCAGGTTAGAAATAAGGCATCAACTCCCAGTCGTTTCTGGAAATTTGCAATATCTAAATTTCTCATTCGATGTAAGGAAATGACCTATTGCGTCTAAATAAGATTTCAGCCTTATTAAGGCTGATTTGCAATATCTCTCTAATAATAAACTCACGTCAGGGTGACAATTTAGAAAAAAAACTCGTCGTATGGCGCTCGCTGTGAAGCGAAGGCTGCTAACGTGCGCTCGCTAAGAAACGTGTGACCAAAAATTTGTTTTTTCTGTTTTTCGCAAAAATGCGAATGAAGTTAGCGTTTTCGTTATTTAGCGAGTGGTGAAAAATTGAGCCCCCGGTGTCGGTAAATTGGCCGTCTACCCAACTTAGCGGGTATACATACGTTCATAGTACATATAAGTGCTACACAATCCCACATATTCTGTCCTTTAGAAAATAAGTTGTATCTGGCGGCTCTGGGCTCTTGGACTATAAAGTATATCTTTTTTGGTCGCATTTACTTTACCGCTGCATTTAATTCACGGCCGCATTTGCTTTATTACTTTACGGCCGCTTTTACTTTACGGCCGCTACTTTGGTGAAAACAAACAAACAATCAAAAACGCGGTGCCGTACCCATCAACACAACCAATAAACAATTAGTTAGCAACCACAATGAAATCAAATTTTTAATTTTAGCTCTATCCAAATTTCCAAATAAAATGCTAAAGAAAACGGCATAAGATTAAAAATTTGGTAGAAGTATTTTCTTGCATTTTTTTCGGAAAATGCCAAGATTAAAAAATCCTCAACGTTATGGTCCACCTATGTATACTTTATGTTAAAATTTACAATTATAGTCGATAATAACATATCAGCAAGTTCTCAAAATTTATTGCTTTTTTAAAAACACACACAATGTAGGATACCAGGCGAAAACGTCCGCAATATTTTGTAATCCCATTTTCTTTGTGTGTTTGTATGCACCTCGGCCGAATGATCTTTTTTGGCCTCACCTGAAATTTGCTTGGCCTCGGCTGCGCCTCGGCCGCAATTTATGATTCGGCCAAAAAAAAATCAACTTTACGGCCTTGGTACACAAATAACTATTTTGTCAACTTTGACAGGCTGTAAAACCTTAACGGTTAATTTTACAGCAAAACCTATTTTACATTCTCGTCTATAGCTTTTTATGGGCTATCATCTGACACCAACCTTGAATTTAACCTGAGATTAAATTTAACCGGAACTTTTATTCATGGATTAAATTCAAAGTTGGCATCAAATGATAGTTTATGAAAAATTAAGACAAGAATGTATAATCGCTTTTGCAAAAAAATTGGTGTGAAAAAATCTTAAGCAAATAAACAAAATCGACGTTTCCAAGCGTTTTTTCAAAAAGGCCCCCATTTATTCATCGGTGGTACTGACGGCAGAACTCTAAGACAAGGAAGGGGCAGTTCGCGCTTGAACGAGGATGGCAGGGCTTGAAACGGAAAAAAAAAACTCCCATTAGATATATGTATTGAAAATTAAGTTATGTTGTTATGCTTTCTTTCTTTTACAATGTTTGTTAAAGTAATTAAGTTAAAGTAATTAAGTAAAGTAATTGTTTTTTGATTTGCTCATGAAGTTTGTGTAAAACAGAGAGCACGTGTCATTTCTTAAGAACGAGGTGGGGTTCCCTTTAACCTTCAAAATGGCGATCCTTCAAAATTGCCAAAACAATATTATATCCATCTTCTGGAAGTTCCAATTCATCTTAAATTTCCTCAAGAACATCATATTGATTAGCTTTCCCTCGCCTAGATCTTGGAAAAAACTGAAGTCGAACGAGACGATATCGTGAACTTGTGAGTCATACCAAAGGTCATACTCATTTTCCCGTACAAAATAAATTTCATAATATTTTTTTTATAATGGTCCTGAGCGTTACCATGAGCGGAAGAAATTCAGTGACGATTAACCCTCCGTTTGAACACGTTAAGGTTAATTCGTTCATGAAATGAAGTAGAAGGCAAAAAGTTCTAGAGGTGCACAGTACGCCACAACATTTGGAGGTCCTTGGGGTAGCCATAGCCAACTTCAGATACAGATGGAATGCCTGTGAGGTTGTCAAATAACTTCTCCTAGCTGGAATGAGGCTGGCCAGATTGTCAGAACATCTCGCATGGTAATAGCGATAGAATAGAATAATTTCTTCAGAAGTGAAGAAGACATGTCGAGACAAGTTGGTCGATACGATACTGAGGGATTGATAGAAATGTTTTCTCCCGACAATTCTGGTTTCGCCATGTTTTATGAGAATCGAGTTCTAAAATATAACTGACATACGCGCTCAGCAGATCCCCTATCGATCTTTAAAACAAAACCCGTACTGTTTGTCAGAGATGAGCTTATTGGCTTCGAGATATTTATCCAGTTTCTGGTTGACTGCATTTTCCATTACTTTCGAAAGTACGGATATAAGTGAGATAATTGCTAGGAAGAGTTTTCGTATCCATATTTCCAGATAGACGGGAAAACGCCTCCTAACATTTTTAGGTCTAAATACAACGTTGTCAATGTACGAACTAATGTGTGGCAGTACCTGCGGCGGTCTGCCATTGTCCTCTATCGTGGAATTGAATCAGTGGCGCACCCAGGGGGGTGCTATCCAGGCCGCCCTTCCAAAACTGTATTTTTACTTTGAAAAATGTAGCAACATCAAGGCGTGGCACCCTGACACCTCAATTATTATTATTTTTTTTCAGTCACAAGCCACAACCTATGTAGGGCCCCCCCAAACATATTTTCTCAGTGCGCCACAAAATTTAATGCAAACTGTTTGAAAAAGAGACTTTCTATTTGACGATACTGTGATGGAATTATTGTCCTCAACTGGTGGAAAGAAATAAGATGCGACACATGACATATAAAACAAACAGGAACACAATTTATATGACACAATACCAGAATTTAGATTCTCGTTTTCAACTCTCCAATTTTGATAGATTAAAACATAATCCTTGATTGAGTTTTCACTAGAGGTTGAAAAAACGGTGCGAATCAAATATTTGGTTTGACCTTGGGTAACATGCTAATCCTGGATTAGTCTATACTGTGCAAATGGGTATGGTCCACTTTACTGCCTAGTTAAACAAATAATTATCGCTTACCGTATAAGCGGCAAAATAGAAAAATGATATAAATAATATCGGCTTCATTTTCACTTCCACCTTTCACACTATTATTTCATTTACTGGCGTTTGCGTTCATTTTTCAAATATTTTCCATTTATATGTTAAAGATACTTGATCTTGAGGATATAAAAAATAGCAAAACCGTACATAAACACTTGACATATACTTGTTTACACAGGTTTATCTATCTTGAGTGCATATTGATAGATTAAGTAAAAGAAAATTAGATACATTGATTATTCAATTTTTCTAGAAGTAGTAACGAGGGTAAGTATTTTATTTACAATCATATGTTTTGTTGACTTTTCTGACTTTCAAAAAATTTGAAAATGTCACTTTTTCGACTTTTACTTTCAACCCACGCCCACGGGTTGAAAGTTTACTTTCCTCCCGTGCGCCGGAAGTAAATGAAATTGTTAAAATTTATTGTATTTTTTGACGTTCACTTTCCACCCACAAGTCGAAAGTTTACTTTCCTCCCGTGGGACAAAAGTAAATGAAATTGTTAAAATTTATTGTATTTTTTTAGTTTTCATTCAAATAAAAATTACAAAATAGTAATTTTTTCCTGTACAAAAAATTTGATTTCTTATTATAATTTGGAATTAAAAAAAAAACACGATATCCATCCTTGGAGGAGACCTAATACCTATAGATAGTAATTTAGAAGTAATTGTAAAAATCTTTAGTTTAGCTGTAGCTAATATTCCTGTACAAAATGTATTTCTTATAATCATTTAGATAAAAAAAAAATAACACGGTATCCATCCTTGGAGGACACCAATACCGATAGATAGTAATTTAGTAATTGTAAAAATATATAGTTTAGCTGCAGCTAATGTTCCTGCACAAAATGTAATTCTTATAATAATTTAGATAGAAACACGATAGGTATCCTTCCTTGGGGACACCAATACCTAACGTGAAAATCACCTATTTCTATCCAAATATACGTGAGGAAAGATTTTTTTCATTGTTATAAGCTTGAATTTGTTCGTTAAACACGCATTTCGATCCTACTTTTCATTAGGAACTGAAGTATTCCAGAAAATGCAAAAAAATTCCATCTCACAATAATTTCGGATAATTCACGTTTTTACAAGAGGAAAAGCCTAAAAAGTCCTTTTAGAACGAATTTGGGTTGTTTTGCTGAGTTGAATGCTGCTTTCAATCAAAAATACGCCAGGAAAGAAATTTCATGACAATAATCTCCAATTTCGATCCATACATACGCGAAGAAAGGTTTATTTCATTGTTATAAGCTTGAATTTGTTCTTTAAAGGCGCATTTCAACCTTACTTTTTATTAGGAAGTGAAGTATTCCAGAAAATGCGAAAAAAATTCCATCTCACAATAATTTCGGATAATTTACGTTTTTACAAGATGAAAAGCCTAAAAAGTCCTTTTAAAACGAATTTGTGTTGCTTTGCTGAGTTGAATGCTGCTTTCAGTCAAAAATTCGCCAAGAAAGAAATTTTATGACAAAAATCTCCAATTTCTATCCAAACATACGTGAGGAAAGGTTTTTTTCATTGTTATAAGCTTAAATTTGTTCGTTAAACACACATTTCGAGGCTACTTTTCATTAGGAAGTGAAGTATTCCAGGAAATACGAAAAAAATACCATCTCACAATCATTTCGGATAATTTACGTTATTACAAGAGAGAAAGCCTTAAAAGTACGATTAAAACGTATTTGGGTTGTTTTGCTAAGTTGAATGCTGCTTTCAATCGAAAATACGCCATGAAAGAAATTTTATGACAATAATCTCCAATTTCGATCCATACATACGCGAGGAAAGGTTTATTTCATTTATATAAACTTGAATTTGTTCTTTAAAGGCGCATTTCAATCCTACTTTTTATTAGGATGTGGAGTATTCCAGAAAATTCGAAAAAAATTCCATCTCAAAATAATTTCAGATAATTTACGTTTTTACCAGAGAATAAGCCTTAAAAGTACTTTTAAGGTGAATTTGGGTTGTTTTGCTGAGTTGAATGCTGTTTTCAATCAAAAATTTGCGGGGAAAGAAATTTTATGACAATAATCTCCAATTTCGATCCATACATACGCGAGGAAAGTTTTATTTCATTGTTATAGCTTGAATTTGTTCGTTAAACACACATTTCGAGCCTACTTTTCACTAGGAACTGAAGTATTCCAGAAAATGCGCAAAAAATTCCATCTCACAATAATTTCGGATAATTTACGTTTTTACAAGATGAAAAGCCTAAAAAGTCCTTTTAAAACGAATTTGTGTTGCTTTGCTGAGTTGAATGCTGCTTTCAATCAAAAATACGCCAGGAAAGAAATTTCATGACAATAATCTCCAATTTCGATCCATACATACGCGAAGAAAGGTTTATTTCATTGTTATAAGCTTGAATTTGTTCTTTAAAGGCGCATTTCAACCTTACTTTTTATTAGGAAGTGAAGTATTCCAGAAAATGCGAAAAAAATTCCATCTCACAATAATTTCGGATAATTTACGTTTTTACAAGATGAAAAGCCTAAAAAGTCCTTTTAAAACGAATTTGTGTTGCTTTGCTGAGTTGAATGCTGCTTTCAGTCAAAAATTCGCCAAGAAAGAAATTTTATGACAAAAATCTCCAATTTCTATCCAAACATACGTGAGGAAAGGTTTTTTTCATTGTTATAAGCTTAAATTTGTTCGTTAAACACACATTTCGAGGCTACTTTTCATTAGGAAGTGAAGTATTCCAGGAAATACGAAAAAAATACCATCTCACAATCATTTCGGATAATTTACGTTATTACAAGAGAGAAAGCCTTAAAAGTACGATTAAAACGTATTTGGGTTGTTTTGCTAAGTTGAATGCTGCTTTCAATCGAAAATACGCCATGAAAGAAATTTTATGACAATAATCTCCAATTTCGATCCATACATACGCGAGGAAAGGTTTATTTCATTTATATAAACTTGAATTTGTTCTTTAAAGGCGCATTTCAATCCTACTTTTTATTAGGATGTGGAGTATTCCAGAAAATTCGAAAAAATTCCATCTCAAAATAATTTCAGATAATTTACGTTTTTACCAGAGAATAAGCCTTAAAAGTACTTTTAAGGTGAATTTGGGTTGTTTTGCTCAGTTGAATGCTGTTTTCAATCAAAAATTTGCGGGGAAAGAAATTTTATGACAATAATCTCCAATTTCGATCCATACATACGCGAGGAAAGTTTTATTTCATTGTTATAGCTTGAATTTGTTCGTTAAACACACATTTCGAGCCTACTTTTCACTAGGAACTGAAGTATTCCAGAAAATGCGCAAAAAATTCCATCTCACAATAATTTCGGATAATTTACGTTTTTACAAGATGAAAAGCCTAAAAAGTCCTTTTAAAACGAATTTGTGTTGCTTTGCTGAGTTGAATGCTGCTTTTAGTCAAAAATTCGCCAAGAAAGAAATTGTATGACAAAAATCTCCAATTTCTATCCAAACATACGTGAGGAAAGGTTTTTTTCATTGTTATAAGCTTAAATTTGTTCGTTAAACACACATTTCGAGGCTACTTTTCATTAGGAAGTGAAGTATTCCAGGAAATGCGAAAAAAATACCATCTCACAATCATTTCGGATAATTTACGTTATTACAAGAGAGAAAGCCTTAAAAGTACGATTAAAACGTATTTGGGTTGTTTTGCTAAGTTGAATGCTGCTTTCAATCGAAAATACGCCATGAAAGAAATTTTATGACAATAATCTCCAATTTCGATCCATACATACGCGAGGAAAGGTTTATTTCATTTATATAAACTTGAATTTGTTCTTTAAAGGCGCATTTCAATCCTACTTTTTATTAGGATGTGGAGTATTCCAGAAAATTCGAAAAAAATTCCATCTCAAAATAATTTCAGATAATTTACGTTTTTACCAGAGAATAAGCCTTAAAAGTACTTTTAAGGCGAATTTGGGTTGTTTTGCTGAGTTGAATGCTGTTTTCAATCAAAAATTTGCCAGGAAAGAAATTTTATGACAATAATCTCCAATTTCGATCCATACATACGCGAGGAAAGTTTTATTTCATTGTTATAGCTTGAATTTGTTCGTTAAACACACATTTCGAGCCTACTTTTCACTAGGAACTGAAGTATTCCAGAAAATGCGAAAAAAATTCCTTCTCACAATAATTTCGGATAATTAACGTTTTTACAAGAGGAAAAGCCTAAAAAGTCCCATTAAAATGAATTTGGGTTGTTTGGCTGAGTTGAATGCTGCTTTCAATCAAAAATACGCCAGGAAAGAAATTTTAGGACAATATTCTCCAATTTCGATTCATACATACGCGAGGAAAGGTTTATTTCATTGTTATAAACTTGAATTTGTTGTTTAAAGGCGCATTTCAACCCTACTTTTTATTAGGAAGTGAATTATTCCAGGAAATGCGAAAAAAATTCCATCTCAAAAAAATTTCAGATAATTTACGTTTTTACCAGAGAATAAGCCTTAAAAGCATTTTTAAGACGAATTTGGGTTGTTTTGCTGAGTTGAATGCTGTCGTCAATCAAAAATTCGCCAAGAAAGAAATTTATTGAAAATAATCTCTAATTTCTATCCAACATAAGTGAGGAAAGATTTTTTTCATTGTTATAAAATTGAATTTGTTCGTTAAACACGCATTTGGAGGCTACTTTTCATTAGGAACTGTAGTATTCCAGAAAATTCGAAAAAAATTCTATTTCACGATAATTTCGGATAATTTACGTTTTTAACAGAGAATAAGCCTCAAAAGTACTTTTAAGACGAATTTGGGTTGTTTTGCTGAGTTGAATGCTGTTTTCAGTCAAAAATTCGCCAAGAAAGAAATTTTATGACAAAAATCTCCAATTTCTATCCAAACATACGTGAGGAAAGGTTTTTTTCATTGTTATAAGCTTGAATATGTTCGTTAAACACGCATTTCGAGCCTATTTTTCATTAGGAACTGAAGTATTCCAGAAAATGCGAAAAAAATTTCATATCACAATAATTTCGGATAATTTACGTTTTTACAAGAGGAAAAGCCTAAAAAGTACTTTTAAAACGAATTTGGGTTTTTTTGCTGAATTGAATGATGCTGTCAATCAAAAATACGCCAGGAAAGAAATTTT